ATAGATAGATAGATAGATAGATAGATAGATAGATAAAGAAGCAAGCTAGAGGGCTGGAGAGATGGCTCAGTGGTTAAGAGCATTGCCTGCTCTTCCAAAGGTCCTGAGTTCAATTCCCAGCAACCACATGGTGGCTCACAACCATCTGTAAAGAGGTCTGGCGCCCTCTTCTGGCCTTCAGGCATACAGACAGAATATTGTATACATAATAAATAAATAAATATTTTAAAAAAAAAAGAAGCAAGCTAGATGTGGTGGTGCACGCTAAACCCAGCACTCAGGAGGCAGAGGCACATGGATCTCTGTGAGTTCTAGGCCAGTTTGGTTGGTCTACAGAGTGAGTTCCAGAACAGCCAAGCCAATGTAGAAAGACCCTAAGACCCTGTCTCAAAAAACCAAGAGGGCAAACAAAACAAGACATGGGCTGATAAAAACATGCAACAAGGTGGATGTGGTGGCACATGCCTTTAATTCCAATATTTGGGATGCAGAGGCAGGTGGTTCTCTGTGACTTCAAGGCCAGTCTGGTCTGCAGAGCAAGTTCCAGGACAGCCAGAACTACACAGAGAAACCCTGTCTCAAAAAATAAAAAAAAGGGGGGGGGAGAGAAAGAGAGAAAAGAAAAGCAACAGTGTGCAAAACTTTCAACAGACAGAAACCAACTATTTACAGTTAATTATTGCCACCTACACCCCGACATTACAAGCACCAGCTTCATATACCTATTTCAGATGTTGCCGTGACAAGTGCTTTCCTAAGGCACACCTTGCACAACACACCTACATCTTCCTTCCTTCCTTCTTTCCTTCTTTCCTTCTTTCCTTCCTTCCTTCCTTCCTTCCTTCCTTCCTTCCTTCCTTCCTTCCTTCCTTCCTTCCTTCCTTTCTTTTGTGAGACAGGGTTTCTCTGTAGCTTTGGAACCTGTCCTGGAACTAGCTCTGTAGACGAGGCTGGTCTTGAACTCACAGAGATCCGCCTGCCTCTGCCTCCTGAGTGCCGCGATTGAAGTCGTGTGCCACCACCACCCAGCCCCTTTCTCAGTGTTTTAAACCTCTCACCCTCAACTTCCTCGACAGTCACTGTCCTCTTTCCCCTCTGATGTAAGAGGGGTTTCATTGTGAGATGAACTTGGGCCCAGTGAAAGGGAGATGTGAAGGGCAGAGGGAGGATAATTGATGGGTAAGACTGAAGGTGTTTAGGGGTACATAAACCTCGTGATAAGGCTAGGGAAGGGTGAAGCTGAGGACTCTGGTGGGCTACCGTGTAACTGAATGAGTGTGTAAGGGCTAGGAAAAGGACTGCTGAGGCAGTTTCAGAATGAGTTGGGAACTCATGGGGGCAGATTAGAAATATAGTTGGGAGACCAGGACATGCCAAGATGATAGTAGCTATTTATGGTAGAGTTGTAAGATAATTGGAGTATAGTATAGCATCCACCTTCCCAACGTTACCCTGTCCTAACCCATGAATGGTTCTCTTTTTTTTTTATTTCCTTCCTTCCTTCCTTCCTTCCTTCCTTCCTTTCTTTCTTTCTTTCTTTCTTTCTTTCTTTCTTTCTTTCTTGAGATGGGATCTCACTATGTATACCTGGCTGGACTGGAATTTGCTAAGTAGAAAGACTACGAGGCTGGCCTTGAACTCATAAGCGATCAGCTGCCTCTGCCTCTCCGGTGTACAGGATTAGAGGTATGTGCCATTACTCTGCACCTTTTGAAAAAACATTTTTTTTATTATTGTGCGTGTGTTGTTGAATATGTTTGTGTGTGCATCATTTAGAGGTCAGAGGATAACTTGAAGGAGTCAGTTCTCTCTTACCTTTATGTGGGTCTGGGCCATTGAAATCAGGTCTTCAGGCTTGGTGGCAATAGCTGTTATGCACTAAGCCACCCCATTGGCCC